TAATTTAAGATGGTTCTAAGTCATCATTAAGTTAAAACCCTTATTGTGAGTGTTCAAGCCCAAATGATAGTATTTTGTGCGCATCGTAATGCGCTTCTAAGGAAGATAATCATGGATAGTTACTCTTCAAAAGGAAGATAGTTGAATAGTACTCGGATAATTGTTTTAAATTTCGACTACAAAACATATGAGTAATTAATGCAGAATGCATTTTTCTAAACGTTCAGAAGGAGATCGGGCCAAAAAAAATAAAAGAATTGTAAAGAAAACATCGGATAAAGGATTTATCCTAGCATTAGTATGAATAACAGCATTGATGACGATTCCGCGCGTGATACTCTGCCAACTACTGGTACTGGCGAAATTTGGTTGCCACTTGATTAATGGCAGACATGTGGGCAAAGAAATTTTCAATGATATATTTAAGAAAAATGTTGAATTAGAAAACAAATAAATTATGCAAGAAACGTTCCAATTTTCATTTATTTTCTGAGTTCTCTTATGTTACTCGAGTGAAGGATTAAGATGGCCCTTATGGGAGACTTGCTTTAAAAAAACATGTTCAGTATCATTTACTTTATATCACATCTTATGATACAAAAGAATAGAAAATTATGTTATCAAGTCCTTGTCCCAATTATGAGTTGATAAAGTCCTTTTACTTGGGAACCATACGCTGTTGTCATGAAATGTGACTGTGTCACATTGAAGGTTCCATGATAACCGCCGCATGAACAAATCTGCGGATGTCATAATAAATGAACTAAATAACTCTATAATAATTTGATAAACTTACCCTTAGAAATTTTCTAAATTTCTTCTCGGCTGCATGTTCTGGGTTCAAACATCTAGCTTGGTACAATATTTTCATCTGTGATGCTCCAGCATCGTCAGCATTTTGGATAAGTTCCTGAAGAGAAAATAATACAAAAGCGATCAGTAATCACATGAGTCGCCTCACGATGGCCAATTTCATGTTGGAACAAATTTTGTGACAGATGGACAGACAGACGGAGAGTGCACAACTAGACTTGGTACTGATCATTCCTGTAAATTTTGGATAAAATTGCACCAGTAGTTTATGAGGAGTAGTCCGGACAAGCTTTTGTGTATCTGGCACCACACAGAAAAAAACACCTTTTTATCAGAGGGCCATAACTCGGCCAAAAATCATTCAACCGGAAAAGCCGTGCAATATGCTTAAGGACTTGAGCTATAGATCAATCCTGTAAAGTTTCATTGAAATTGCATAAGTGGTATAAGAGAAGTAGTTCGGACAAACTTTAAAATTAAAAATTATTAAAGGGCCATAACTCTGACAAAAATGATTGAACCGGGAAATGCTGACAATATGCACAACTCGACTTGGTACTGATCATTCCTGTAAAGTTTGGATGAAATTGCATCAGTAGTTTATGAGGAGTAGTCCGGACAAGTTTTGTGACGGACAGATGGACAGACAGACAGACAGACGGACAGATAGACGACGGAGAAGTGATCCCTATATGTCGCCACTACTCCATATAGACTGGTTTGATTTTGGTAAAATGTTCATCCTAACGGCATTTTTTAGTACAAGCAGGTAGTTGGGCTTACTTACCTATTTCAAGTACGCTGAATTCCTTTTTTGCTCTACCACGGCTGTATTTTTAGTCCTTGACCTCTAAAAATCAATTTCAAAATGGCCGCCATTGAATTTTTTAATTTTACTTTTATTCTCCCATGGGCGAGATATATACATATTTTTTGGCATTTTAATTTAATGTTTTGTTAATTTTAGTCTGCTGAAATGTGGACGAGAAGAATAGATGCAAAAACAATTAAATTTATTGCGGCAGCCATCTTGGATTTCAAAATGGCTGACAATTTCCTATGTTTTATACACTGTTTTATAATTAAAGTAAACAAGCACAAGAAGGCATTTTACAGGCATGTTTTCTTTTATAGAAGTGCAATGATACTAATTAAGACTTCTAAATGAAGACTTTGAAAAACATCCATTAAAACTACAAACTTTATGGTGAAAAAGGTGACAATTAATACCCTAATACAATGAGTCATATTTGCGTTCACTTCGCCATTTAGATGTTATTTTTATACTTCTAAAAATACAATGCGTGTTCTTTCGATTATTGCGATGTTTTTTAAATTGGATTTGTATCGCCTTGAGGGGAGACCTGCTCAAATGTCTGTCCGTCTGTCTATCTGTCCGACCGTCCTCTTGTGTCAGTTAGGGGTATTTGCGATCACAATTTGGCGTTTAGATTAATTCCGTATACCCCCGACCTATAGGATGAATCATTGGTTATGGGAGGCAAAAGGCTGCTTTTGGAGTAAGAAACAAACATGAAGATAACAGACATTTTCACAAATCTCTCAATAAGAGCTTGTCCCTGTCTTTCCGTTTTTAATCCCGTTCATATCTGTCATTTTCGGATAGATTTTGAAATAAATTGCATTAATGCGTGGCACATGGATACAATGTCATAAGAAAGACCAAGGTTTGAAGCTCAACTCCTCATGTTAGACTTGAAAGTGCTTGAAAAAAGATGTGCATTTTAGTATTCTGTCTTTAAGAGATGAATTTTGAAATAGTTAAGCATAAATATACGGCCTATAACGGATTGGGAAATGATGTACTTATTATTACTTAATCTTCAAACAGGGATACCATGAAACTTTTTTGGTTATTTCTTATGTCAATGTCAATTGCGCAAGAACATGTACTGGGACGAGTAGTGCCCAGGAGCCAATTCAACAATCCTAAGAACAGGGTCATGTCTATCAAGAAAGACAATTTTGTAAAAGTTCATTAGTAGGGAACCCGGTCAACAATTTTTCATGCACGACCTGATATTTAAAAAAAGTCTTAGTATTTCCAAAAGTAATATAGGAATCGCCATCCAGGCTGGCATTCGAAAAAATATTTTTTCATGAAATAAACTACTATTCTATTGTTTCTTCTTGTAAGAGAAATATTCTATATGGTGTTTATCCCATACATACTTATGCCGAGCATCGTGCATATGGATAGTATTTTATTTGCTTAAATAGGTAACCCGACAAGAACATGGTGGTTGAGGCCCTTATGTTAGGACTTTTGTCGACTATTTGGTTATCATGTGGTATTAAATTATCCGTTTTGATTGACCTAGAGCAGGCGGTGTACGGGTAAAAATATTTAAATCTTGTCAATTGTATAAGCCGCCGTCCTGGAACGACAATAACTTTGCGTATATGTGTAATTTGAAAAGGTCGTGTCATGCACAAGCAGGGTTATGTCTACAGTTAAACTTATAAATCATGACAGAAAACGTAACAAGATGGTTGTGTCCGATCTAAAACTTTCTCATTAATTGATGCCTTTTGAAATAATTCTGCATAAATATATGGCACATATATTAAAAATCATTTGGGTTAAATATGGCGCCTCTTTGTAAGACGACATGTAGCGGACAAATGTTCCAAGGTCACACCTGTATTTCCAAAGTCATGATATGAGAATGCATTTGTGGTCATGTCCAGGCCATATATGTGTTATTCAGCAAGAGCTAAGAATAAATACGTGGTACTTTGAAACAATTTGTCTTGAGTGAGAATAGATATTTTGAAGGTCATCTCCGGTCATAAATTATGTCATACATTGGATGGATATTGGCGTAACTAGGCATACATTTGTCGCACGTTAGGACTACTTGTAATGCTTAAACACTAGGTTGTTAGCTAGATAGGTCAATTTATAAAATTGATGGTTGTGTCTATATCTTGGTAATTTATTCATGGATGCTTTTTAAAATAATAAGAAATACTGAAGATGTAAATAAATGCTTCTTAATGTTTCTAATTTTTGTAAAACTTTTAAGACTACAGTATCCATGCCTTCAATGTAAATAATGGAAAACAAGATTAGCAATGTTCAATGAACGCCACCCCAACACGACCCAGCAACAAAGGTAATATATCCTTAACTGAGCCGAGCTTCGGAGACATTTCAAGTGGCACGCCCTTGTTTCACTTTGTTTTACATAATTGTCGGGATAGTGCAAAAATAGTTGGTACACATTTTAGTGACTTATATTACACTAAAAAATACCAAAGTAATTTTATGGAGTGATAGTTGATAAAATAATTATATTGTGGCAAATGACATCAAAATATGTTATATCATAATGGAATAAGATACTCATCAATTTTTTGAAAGATAGCCAAGAACAAAATAAGTACGAAGATTTGAATATAACTTAGTCACTTGAATGATTTTAAAACATGAGATAGAATAAGGTACAGCGTCCTTGGCATAGTGGCATAATTATAACGTAGATTTTGATATTAACTAAGACAATGAATGAATACCAATGAATTAAGACAAAACGCAAAAAATGTCGTATTTTTAGGTAAGTTAATAAAATTAAAAGACATAGGATTCGAAGGCATATATTTTACATGATTTGATAGCAAAAAAACCAAAATGCTCTATCAAGTCATTCAGTGTTAATAACAAAGTGTAAACAGCAGTGAATCGTCAATATATTAATTGCAGAATTGGTATCAATTAACTGTCTAATCTTCTATGCATGTACCATCATCAAATACCCGCAGTAGACCTATAATGTTTTACTTTATATTATTCATTACCCGTAAGACAGTGCAAGCTCGTAAACTGTTTATGGTTCATGTTTGCGAGACTTTTTTCCAAAGTGAAATACAATAAAGATTAAAATGACTTTACCATTTATTTGAGTTTATTTCAGTTAATAAATAGATGATCTGTTTTTAACCATGGCTAGGCATGTTTAAAATTTGATTGATAAAAACGACCCTTTATAAAGAAGCTATATCAATACAAAAATTAAAGATATCGTATAAACACATCTGCGGATGTTTCTAAATTCCAAATTTGACAATTTTCCATTTTGATAAATGAATTTTGCGTAGGGGCCGGTGCTAGGTTGCTTGGACGGTACCTTGCAATTTCCAGTTACGTCAATGTACAGGCTCAATGAAATCGAGCATACAACGTTTTCAATTTTGCCGTTTTGATCGTTTTTTAGAGATTCTGTTGTTGTTGTTGTTGTTGTTTTCTATTTTAAATCGGGTCGTACAATAGATATTGTTGCAAAAACATGCGGACTCAGAGACATAGTCGCTGACCTGTGAAGATGACAGGCAATTTTTTTAAATATTTACATACTGACCTTGACTCTTGGCTTTCAAATTATAAAATGATCTAGTGTCCATAAATGTTTACACAAATGCTATTCTATCAAAAAAAGAAAACTTAAACATCTAATGGTAAATTAAAATGTGCAGGTTTTATGTAAGACATTTGGGATCTCAGATAGATACCTGATTAAGATTAATTGTCCAAAAAGATGACCTGTGATAGTTTAAAGTAATGATGTAAATTAAAGTGCGCATTATACCTACACAGCATGTACAATTCGACATGACATGTTGCTCATATCATTATACAATTTTTGATATTCATTCCTACAGAAGGATCCATTTGTTTAAACCACTTTACTTATATTTGTTAAAAATGGTGTCCATTTTGAAATCAAAGATGGCCGGCATAGAAGTCAATGTGTAAAGCATGTATAGTTATCAGCCAATTATTCCTAAAAGTAATTATAAACTTTATTCCATGTAGATTAACGGACATACGATACGATATGTACCAGAAATAATATTTTTTTAAGTAGATGGTGAAGGACAATGGTGGCCATTTTGATTTGACCTTTAGAAGGTCAAGGACTTCGAGTACAGCCGTGGTAGAGCAAAAAATGGATTCAGCGTACCCGAATTATCTTAAAACGATTCACTACCTGCTTGTACTAAAAAATGCCGTTAGACTCTTAACGGAGGGTCTTTTCTGAAAATCAAACCCGTCTAATAGAGGCGATACAAAAA